GTCCCTCCATTTGGGATAAAAAATAGAAACATATGCGTAGTGTATTGTTGAAGTTTAATTGTTGCTTAATTTTGAAGTGTGTCTTTTGAGATTCTATCTTACCTTGATTCCCCTTATCATCATTGAACGGAATTCAGTTTGAGTGTTTAGAGTTAAGATGTAGACATTCACTGGAAGAAAAAACAGCTATCATTTAAAGCCTGAATGATTGTTTTTGGTTGTTTATTTGTGAATGATGAAGTTCTATTTGAAACTTAGTAGTAGTTACTATTATTCGTTGTAATGATTGGAGAAATGAGTTGAGTAGGGTTTGTCTGTGTAGATAAATGACATTATTTTAATACATGCTTCATTACATCATAGACATCCTATGTCCAAACTACATTTATTGTTGGGTCATGTTTGCCAGAGTTATAAACATTGTGAACCCACTTTGTTTGATGATGCTTGTTTGTAAGTGAGCTTGGACTTTATTTGGATCCGGCGATTTGCATTTTTTTATGTTCAAGAATTTGTTATTGAGTATCTGCAATTTCCGGTTGAATTAGAATAATTGGATATGATTAGCTTCCATGGATGCTAAATGACTTGCCAGTTTCAAATACTGGTAGTTGGTTCACGTTAACAAGTTTGATAGGTTTCTAGTTTTACCTTATTACTGATTACTGATGTCATTTGTCTGCAGAATGGAAGTAGTCATGTAGGACTCCCGTTCCTCGGTCGTCCAAATGACATGACTCACGATCCTGATCCAAAGAATCATTCTCAAAGTCCTCGATCTGTCTTTGGGACAAAGAGTGGACACAACTGTGAGGTATGGTTCTTATTGCTTCAATAAACAGTTAAACACAATAGAAGTGTTATAGCTCCTCATATTAAAGATTATTGAGTCTATGTCTTATACATTTTAACGACCTGAATTAGAATTATATCCTTTACTGCTTAGTGTTATCGGTGGTTGTTTGTTCCCTGGTTACTCCTGTTTTAATCATCTTTGGGGAAAAGTGTATGTTTTTGTATAGTGAGGCAGTAGCTAGCGACAGACTATAATCATAGTAACATTGCATAGATCAATGATATCTATGAATACAGAGATTTATATACAATGATTTGGACAAAACACTTCATATTTTTCATGCAAACCCACTTGTTAAAAATAGCATTTAAATTTATCACTTGAGGGTTTAAAGTGAAAGAATAAACAATTAAGTGCTAATTTCATGTACTGTGTTTTTCAGCTCAAGCCTTTCCAGTTGCTCAACACTGAAATGGAGGGTGCAACAAAGTGGGATCCTGTATGTCTAAAAACATCCGATGAGGCGAAGCATATCTACGCGAAACTTCTTGACCAAAAGGTAAGTACTGTATCTGTTGTATCTGCTCTTGAAGCTGAACTACAGCAGGCACGTTCACGCATTCAGGAGCTTGAGACTGAGCAACACTCCTCCAAAAAGAAACTTGATCATTTCTTGAAGAAAGTTGGTGAGGAAAAGGCCCAATGGAGAAGCAGAGAACATGAGAAAATCCGTGCTTACATTGATGATATTAAAACAGAGTTGAATCGAGAAAGGAAAAGTCGCCAGAGGATTGAAACTGTCAATTCTAGGTTGGTAAATGAGTTGGCAAATGTGAAGCTATCAGCAAAACGCTTCATGCAAGATTTTGATAAGGAGAGGAAGGGAAGAGAACTGATTGAGGAAGTGTGTGATGAGCTTGCTAAGGAAATTGGTGAAGACAAGGCTGAAGTTGAAGCATTGAAAAGGGAATCTATGAAATTTAGGGAAGAACTGGAAGAGGAGAGAAGGATGTTACAGATGGCTGAAGTATGGCGTGAAGAACGTGTTCAAATGAAGTTGATAGATGCAAAAGTTGCTCTTGAAGAGAAGTATTCACAGATGAATAAACTTGTTACAGATTTCGAAGCTCTTCTCAAGTCAAAAAATGTGCATCTAAACACAAAGGAGATAAAAGAAGCACAGTCACTTCAACAGGCTGCATCTGCAATGAACATTGAAGACGTTACGGAATTTTCATATGAACCTCCCAAGTCAGATGATATTTATGCCATTTTTGAAGATTTAAATTTTGGCGAGCACAGCGAGAGGGAGATTGAACCGTGTGTTTCTCACAGTCCTCCTAATCATGCCTCCAAAATTCACACAGTGAGTCCTGAAGCAAATGTAATGAGTAAGGATGACATTCCGAGGCGTTCTGATGTATATATGGATGATAATGGCGATATAGAGGGTGATGAAAGCGGATGGGAAACTGTGAGCCAAGCTGAGGATCAAGGGTTGAGTTATTCTCCTGACGAGAGTGACAAATCTTTCAACAAGAACCAACGGGAGAGTAATGTTTCACGGAGGAGTGTACTTGAGTGGGAAGAAAATGCAGGTGAGGAGACACCAATAACTGAAATTAATGAAGTGTGCTCTATACCAACTAAGCAATCAAAAAAGGCCTCTTCCATAAAGAGACTTTGGAGGTCAGGCCTGAACAAAGAGGATAATTACAAGATAATCTCTGTGGAGGGAGTGAATGGCAAACTTTCAAATGGAAGGTTATCGAATGGGAGCATTGCGTCTCCTGACCGTGGATCAGGTAAAGGGGGATTGAGCCCTCATGACCTCCAATACCAATTTAGTCCTTCTGATTCCGGAAGTCCTCATTCACAACGGGTTATGAAAGGATGCATTCCTCGTGGTGCACAAAAGAATAGCTTGAAAGCTAAACTTTTGGAGGCCAGAATGGAGAGCCAGAAGGTTCAGTTGCGCCATGTTCTTAATCAGAAGATTTAGATCCAGGCATATCATTGCATGAATTGTCCTCCTGGAATGACTTAAGGGAAGTAATTCATTTTAGATTGTGAAGAAGGTGCTAATGTGCTGCTTATGTAAAAAAAAAAAAACTGCTCAAAAGATATTAGAGTCCATGAATAGATTGTGCATACCCTTTTAAGCAGATATTTTCCTTCCCTTGTGCTATAAATATAATATGTTGGGAAAAGACTTGCTTTGTAATATGTTGAAACTGGTCTTTACTTCATTGCATAGGGCCTCTAGAAAAATTATGAGAAGCATTTAACTTTTGATGTATCAATTCTAGTCATAGGGCAAATGTCAATTAAAAACATAATGTCATAAAATGTAGATGATAGCTTTCTAGATTTTGATTTTCTGTCATTGCTGCAGCTGCTTAAGAATTTGTTTTAGATTGTAAATTGTAGAAGATTCACTAGAGTAATTTGGTCCTAGCATAAATAAACTTTGTTGTTGAATGCTGGGATTTTCTCTCTGTTCATTTTTAATTCTAACTGTTCTCTAAATATCTAACAAAAAATAAATTTTAGATTAACGATTTATTTTTTTGACAAGATTAACCGAAATATTTTATAGGTACGAAATTTAATTTATTTTTTTGTTGTTGATATTTTAGTATATTTGATAGTTTTGAATTATTTATGGTTCTCCGTCTTGATTTTCGATAATATGAAGAATTAAAACTCATTCATTTTAAATGAGTTTATGTATCCTAGCCTTGCCACTAATGAAATTAATTTTTTTAATTAGAAATATTCGTTTTTCTAAACACAGTAAATTACATTATAAATAATAAAATATAAATTAAAATATTAAGCTAAAATCTCTTATTTATTTTCAAATAGATTAAAGATATGCAAACCATTCATAAAAAATACAGAAGTGACTAGAGGTCTTAACTAAGACCATCTCACGCAGTCATAATATTTAGAGAGAAGTGACTAGAGATTTTAACTAAGACCATCTCCCAGTGTCGTCAATTGAAAATAAAAAATAAAGAGAAGTGACTATAGGTCTTACCTAAGATCATCTCCCACGGTTTTAATGTTTGGAGAGTGCCGTCAATTAAAAATAAAAAATAAAGAGAAGTGACTAGAGGTTTTAACTAAAATCATCTCATGCGATCGTGCCGTGAATTAAAAATAAAAAATAAAGAGAATTGACTAGAAGTCTTAACTAAGACCATCTCCTGCATTCGCAATGTTTGGAAAATGCCGCCAATTAAAAACAAAAAAAATAATAAAGAGTGTCGCCATTTACATTGCAATGTAATGTAATAGTGTAATTGAATAAAAAATTAATAAATTATGTTTGGTTATAAATAGAAGCAAATGATATTCAAATTTTCTTTCATAAGTTTATTTATTTCTCACAATTTTATCATTTTACTCATAGTATTTTGAATTTTTATTCTCACAATTTCATCTTATTGATCTTTAATTGACCATATATTTTATCCAATTTTTCATCTTCTTACTTCAAATTATTATTGTTAAGGTCAAATGGACCCTAATTAATATAGTTCTAAACAATCCATGTTCTGTTTCATGCAAAATTATCAAAACTCTAATCCTCAAAATTTTCAATTTGTCTCACCTCCAACAAAATATACCGTATTTTTTTCGTCACCAAACAACCCAAATATGTATTTTAAACCTCAAATAAATACTCATGAGATGAATTTTTCTCATCATGAACCCAAAACACCGAATGAGTTTATGTTCGAACGTCAAGTTCCATAATTTTCAACTCAAGTTGGTATTGAAAATATTACAATTGAAAAGGAACAAAGGCGTTATGTTAAGAAAAACCTTGAGAGGTATTCACAAGGAAAGATGACACGTTTCTTATGCAATCATGACTCAATGTTTCAAAGGATCCAATTGTTGGAGTTGATCAAAAAGTCGACAACTTTTAGTTAAGAATCACCGATAATTATAACCAATGTCGTGGACAGTCACGAGAAAAGCTACAAGACCAATTAAAATCTCAATGACATCATATAAATGTCATTGTTCAAAAATTTATTGGGTGTTACAAACAATATGTTCATGGGGAAAAAAATTGGGACATCGGAGAAAGATATCTTAGTTAATGCACATGCTTTTTTTTGCTCAAGATGAAGATGCACCATTCAATCTTGAGCATGCATGACAGCTTTTAAAAGATCAACATAAATGGATGGAAGTATCCACCGAAAATTCTTCAAAGAGAATAAAGAATTATGCTAGCGGTGCACGCACGTCATCGCCAAATTTAGAGGCACCTTCAAGTTATGATTTTAACTTATCATCTCCTATGGAGCGTCCAATGAGACAAAAGGCGGAAAAACGAAAAGGAAAGGCAAAGGAAAATTCAAATGCAACTGAACCTCCTTCTAGAGTTATGCATGATACAATGAATAAAAGAATGGTAGTAATGGAAAATCTAGCACAACTTAAGGAGGAAGAAAACAAATTAGTCAAGGAAAAGATGAAGTTTGAAGAAATGAAATTCATCATGTTAGACACTTCTAAGATGAATGATAGTCAACGTGAATTTCATGAAAAATATTGTAATAAGCTAAAAGAAAAATATGGATGGTAATAATATGCGATGTTCTAGTATTATTATATTTAAGTATTATATAGTACTTGTTATGTATCAACACCTATTGTAATAAGATGCAATGTTCTAGTATTCAAACTAACTGTTATTCAAACTATTCGTTATTCAGACTAGCCATATATATACTTTCATTCTTCTCTCACTTTTCTATCATCCTTCTCTCATTCTTCTATCATTTCTCTATCATCCTTCTCTCATTCTTCTCTCATTTTTCTATCACCCTCTCTCACTTTAATGGATTCAAATAACCTCAACAAACTCTTTTGGGAGGTGATTGAAGAAGAAATTATGAACAACATAGATGAAGAACTACTATTGTCAATGCTTGAGAAGGAACGTCAATCTGGAAGTTCATCAAGGCGAAAAAAAAGATCGGTGATAGATCGAAATCGTGAAGAAGGGCATAAATGATTATTTAATGACTACTTTTAGGAAAATCTAATATACACAGATGCCCAATTCCGTAGAAGGTTCATAATGCATAGGCATGTGTTTCTTCAAATTGTAGAAACCCTTGGTAGTCCACTTCTGCTATTCGTATGTTGGCATATGGATCTTCTGCTGACATTGTAGATGAATATGTTCAAATTGGTGAAAGCACTGCAATTGAGTGCTTGCAGAGATTCGTAAGGTCGTGAGTGAGGTATTCGGGACCGAGTATTTAAAAAGTCCTAATAACAATGATGTTGAACATCTTTTACAAATGGGAAAGTCACGTGAATTTCCATGAATGCTAGGTTCCATTGATTGTATGCATTGGAAATAGAAGAATTATCCGGTTGCATGGAAAGGACAGTTTTGTCGAGGTGATCATGGTAAACCCACAATCATGCTTGAAGCAGTGGCATCACAAGACTTATGGATTTGACATGCATTTTTAGGTATTGCAGGCTCAAAGAATGACATTAATATGCTAAATCAATACAATGTGTTTAACAATATTTTGGAAAGACATGTTATTACTGTGCAATATACAATCAATGAGACTCTATAATTTGGGGTATTATTTAGCGGATGATATATATCATGAGTGGACTACATTTGTTAAGACCATCTCAATGCCGCAAGGAAAAAGGAGAAAACTATTTGCACAATATCAAGAATCAACTATAAAGGATATGGAATGGACATTTGGAGTGCTCCAATCTCGATTTGCAATTATATGTGGCCCAACGCGTGCTTGGCACATGGAAACCCTCAAGCATACCATATATGTTTGCATCATATTGCACAACATGATTGTTGAAGATGAACGACACACATACAAAGGTGATTTTGATTACTCTTATGATAATGTAGATGACAACAACTCAACGACTGAAATATTTAACGATCCTCATCTGAATCTTGCAACAAGACTATAAAGAAGAGCAAGTCTTCGTGAAAAGCAAGTTTATCGCCAACTTCAAGGAGATCTAGTCGAGCATATTTGGGAACGTTTTGGACACGAGGATGATGAAATTTAAAAGACGAATTATGTGGTGTTATTTATTTTATTATTTTTAATCATATGTCATGTATTTGAGATTAATTTTAATTAATATTTTAAATTTTATGTTTAATTTTAATTTTATTTATTTGTATTAATTATAATTATTATTCTAAATAAAATAAAATTTAATATGAATAATATATTAATATATTAAATAAAGTGGTGGGACCCAATATAGGTTCTTTATAGTTACATCATTGGAGTGAACATTTGATGAGTTGCTTGAAGATGATGTGCCTTGATGGGTCACACAAAGAACCCAAAAATGGGTTACACCATTGGAGATGCTCTAAGTTTCACTTCCAAGAACAATAAATAATTGTATCCATCGACTCCTTCACAGTCAGTGTTTTACTAGAAAAAAATAAAACCATTACGAGAACTTAAAAGGTTTGGATAAAACCAAACACCACTTGACAATATTACACCAAACAACCGTTGTCTCATCACAAATAATGAAAAGATGGGAAACAAGCTTCACACTGGGAAGATAACTCAAGACCGTCATTATAGCACTGCCATCCACATGCACTTGATCTAAGAGGGTCATATAGGCTTATTTAACAGTGCACAAGCCTCTCAAATCTTGTGTTTATAACCTAAAAATAATATCAGGAATATGCAATACATAAAGGGTCTAGAGAGATGAATAAATCTTTTTAAAAATTTAACCGATTTTCAAAATGAAAAATCAGAGTTTGTATAGCGGGAAGCAAATTGCGAAAATAAAGATGTTATATTTATTTCAGAAGAAATCAAAAATGGAATTATACTACAATTCAAAATTATCCTTAGATTGTTTAAAGACAATACTACAAAAGTTACAAGCTATATTAAATTGACAATTCTTAAATTACATGAGACGTGTCATTTACAAATTTCAATCTCTATGAGATTCTAACACGAGAGTTTGTAGAATTTAATCTGTAATAAAATACAAATAGGTTCTGATTCTAACAAAATCTACAGTTACGTAATAAATCACTACCAACATAAATTAATGCTAAGAAACGATTACCTAAACATGCAATAGCCTATCCACAACAATGTTGAGAAAAATAAATCTCCTATTTGGATCTTGCTTTTATACAACCTTGACACTGAACTCTGCGAAATTTTTACTCGATTCTCGCTTCTTGAATCTTCTAACTTCACCAATATGCTCCAAGTTTTTATGTGTAGAAATCGTCCCTGATCCCATCAATTTCTTGAGCGATGAACTGTCCAAAAAATTTAGAAGAACCCATACCTTATCGTAGTCTTCCATACAACTCTACCAAGGCCAGCCTAGAGAGAAAACCCTTCTTTTCACTAGAATTTGTCACTACCAGTCACAACAATACTAATATTTGCAAGCTTCTTGAAAATATTTACCAGTAATTACAAATCTTCATAATCGATATCTGAATCCAAACTATAGGTCGAAGATGAAAGAAATTTCAAATGCAGGAGTTTTTTAGTTTTCAAAAATCAGAAGTTGTTGTTGTTATGTTCTTAGTTGTTATGAAATGAGATGACACATGAATATATATGTGCTAGAGATTAAGCATAAAAATAGATGAAAATAGTTGTTAGATTCGAGTCAAAAATATTTGTTGATTTGAGTCAAATGACCAAGTAGAGTGGAACACGATCATCATAAAGAAAAGTGACATGTTTTTTGTGATTTGGGTTAGGTTATAACTGTGATTCGAATCATGAAGGGTCACGATTTGACTCATGTATAAACCTTGATTCGAATCAATTTGGACAGGGCCAAATAGGAAAAAGTGGAAAAACTTTGTGATTCGAGTCACGTGTAAAGTCCGTCTCAAATCAAATTGGGCATTGGCTAACATGACTTGTGTGATTGGAATAAGATGCAACTTGAGAATCTAGTCACAATGTTGCATGATTTGATTCAAGTGCAAAGTGTGATTCCCGTCACATACACCATAAATTTTCCTATTCTCTCTTGTTTGAGTTTATTCGAGTCATGACTTGTGAGTGATTCGGGTCACACACAAGAAATCTTAAATTTTCAAGTTTTTCAAAATAGTTTGAGATTTCACTTCGTATATAACTTGAACTAACATCAAGTATGGTTCTTGTTCCATTAACTCAACTAGATGACTTAAAACATAATGATCATACTAAAACACAAACAATTGAATTGTGCATGCTAAAAAGAATGGATTCAAAAATCAATCAAAAGATGTGCAATTCAAAATGAGACTCAATAAAAAAACAATAATGAAATGAAAGCTTAAGAGGCAAGCAACAAAAATGTATTGGGGTTCTCCCCCTTGATGTATTAGAGACATGCAACTCCAGTCTCCCCATTTTTGGTGTTTGACAAACTTTAATTTGGAATTGAGTCGACTTTGAGCCAAAGCAAATAAATGCTTATGTTCCCCCTAAAACATTGCACCACACACACAACATCATAAAACACATAAAACAATTATAGACTCATATTACAACTTCTCCCCCTTTGACAAGATCAAAAAGAGATAGATGGTAACACTACTACGAAAAACACATACAACAACGGTTAAAAAATATTATCACGTAGGACCAACCGTTGTCACGTAGCGTATGGTTGTATATGCGTTACTTACAATCACGGTCGTATGACCGTTGTTGAAAATTGAAAAACGTGCTACCTATAATCACGGTTGTTTTAAATATTCGTGCTAAAGGTCTGTCTGCATTTTTTATTTATTTTTGCCACATGTCTTACCTGACCACATTTATAACTTTTATCATAATATACAATATTAAATATTTTAACACAAGAAAAACAAGAACAATAGCAACAACAAGAACAAAAATAAGAATAACAACAAGAGCAGCAGTAAGAACAATAACAAGAACAACAAAAACAATAACAACAAGAGCAACAATAAATAAATAAATTAATAGAGTTTTGTTTGTGGAAGAAGTGATGTTTTCAAGTTTGGTTTAGTGGATGAATAATGTTTTCTAAATATAAGAAGTTTGTAGGCATGAGATGAAGTTTGTCTAAGTACGTTTAGGGTAAAAGTGAATGTACTAAGAGCGATATATATATCTTTAAAAAAAGAAGGCGCCATCTATAACCACCGTTGATTTAAATACTCGTGGTGAAATGTTTGTGTGGTGAAAGTTATTTACTTATTTTTGTGAAATAATTAAATACCCAAAAATGTGTGTGCAGAGATTTGAACCCATGACCATACGTCACTTTTCACCACATATATTAAATCAACTATGGTTAAATAGTTTTCAGTTTTTTATTTATTTATGAACTTAAGTGACACGCGCTTTTTGTAAAAGAAAAAATGGAAAAAAAATGTTGTTGTTGGGATTCGAAGCTTATAACACTTATTTTATCACCATGATTGTTTACCTCAACCGTTATTAAATAATTTTCAAAAAATAAAAATTATATCAGGCGCATCAAGTTTGTGATATTACAATGGTAGACAGCATAACCGTAGTAGTATTAGTGTTACAGAAGGTGTAT